AAAAAAAAAAAAAAAAAAAAAAAACGAAAGAAAATATGCTTACTAAACATGCCGCAGAGACCATATTATATGATGTTTATTAAATGTTTGTAACCCACTAAAACAGGCATTGGAGACCTTATACATATATATATATATATATATATATATATACCCTTGGTAGCCATGAATAGCTAAAACATGTCTGTGTATCCGTTTGTCTTCCATTTGTATGCTGAGGTTAAGGCTGCAATCTAACAATTTTATCAATTTTTTCTTACATCGTTCTCGCCTGATAAGATTATGCATTTTCGCTCCATTTTGCAATTAAATATCGTGCATGGACTAATCATGGATATTAAAAGATTCGATTCAAATTAAATTTAAGTTTTTTTTTTTAGTTTTTTTCCCTTACGACCTCAGGATGAGGGGTATATTTGTTATGTCAAAACGTTTGCAACGCCCCGAAGGAAGCATCAGAGAACCCATATGTATATCCTTGATCAGTATCAAATTCTAAAGCGATTTATCATGTTTATTATGAAAATTCGATCACAAATTTGGCAAAAAAATTGGAAATGATCGCATACAGCCTGCTATTAAAAATAGACTAAGTCGGTCACAGAAAACGACTACAGTGCTATATAAAATGAGAACGCCTCCGCTTTTTGTAGCAGATAGAAATGCAAAAATTCTACGAGCGAAAAAATTGACCGATATTTTAACGAATCAAAATTTTATTTTTTTTCAATACCTTTATAACCATTTTTGGTGTAGATCTTATTAAAAATTGATTTAAAATTATGGAAGTCTTGAATACTTCGAACTCGAAGACTTTTTCTTACCGTAAATAAAACTTTTCTTCGTTTAAGGCATTATAACTGATGTGTAAGTTGTCGAGCTCTTTCATTAAAAATCAATTAAAGCTAAGATAGATTACAGATTGCTTGTGTCGATGTGCTTGCTGCATTCGAAACAGTTCGAAATTTTTAGACGAACCTATAGTTTTTCCATGCATAATACGCTTGTATACTCGAAGTTGCTATTTGTTTCATATTCACATATGTTTCGAACATTTTTTGTTTTCGTATAAAAATCTTTGAGTGTAAGTATCATCATCTACATGATGAGCTCTTGTTGTAAGATCGTACACATACACCCGCCTGTACAATATCCTTTTGATATCAAATATTTCAATTATTAATAATCTGTTTGCTTTTCTTTTTGTCTTACTCGTTACAGATGAACCCATAAAACTATGCCAATGGATTTATTGCCACAACATTCATAATTTAGTAAAATTCTTTTCTCTTTCTTTTTTTTAATTTTTTTATTTATTTATATATATATATTTGTTTTTTTTTTTTGCATAAAAATTCAGCAAAATTTTTAAGGCAACTAAATATTTGATATATATTTAAATAATTAAAACGTAAACAAGCACTAAATTATGTCTGAGAAAATGTATAATTTATATGACAACAACGCTGCATTATGCAGACATTAATAGATGAATTTAATTAAAAACTTGAAAATAAATAAATTTTAAATACAAAAACAAAAAAAAAAACACATACATTAATAAATAAATAAATAAATAAATACGAAACATTAATAATGAAATAATTTAAACATTGTAGAGCGAAAGTTTTCAATAAAATCTTATAATTTTTTATTTATTTAAAATGATGCAAAAAAAATATATAAATAAATAAATAAATAAGGAAAGGAAACTGAACACCATAGACAGACTGACCGGAAGACACTTGAATTAAGGAATAAATGCACACTGATTGATAAAAGTACGAGGAATGAGAAGGAAAAAAGTAAAAGAAAAGCAAATCATTGCACACACCAGTTATCGATAATAATAAAAAGAAGCACGAGAAAGAAAAAGAAAAACAATAAAGAAGACATAAGTTATTGAAAGTTTCAAGACAATACAAACATAATATAAGTTGTGCAGGTAGACATAACGGAACTATCAGTTTTATAAGAACAGCACAGTTTCGTTGTCTTACACGTTACATCTTTACGTCTTTCATCCTTTTATCAGTCTCTTCTCACACTCTCTCTCTCTCTCTCTCTCTCTCTCTCTCTCTCTGTCTCTCTCTCTCTCTCTCTCTATGTGTGAGTGCCTCTACGCCCTGTTTCCAGTCAATGTCCTCTATCACCAGACATAAGGAATATACAAGATTGGAAAAAAAAAAAAAAAAATTAAAAAAATAATAAATAAATAAATAAATAAAAAACTATGTCGTCGGTAATGTTAAACTTCGAGTAGTAAAAAACTTGTAAAAAGAAATCTATAACAAGGTACACATGTACAATACGAAAATACATAAACGTGCAGCCCCACGAACTATAAAAGCGCATTACAATGAGAGAAGAAAGAAAAAAGAAAAGAAAAGAAAAATCAAAACAAAAACACAATATAACAAAAATATTTTTTTCAAGTAAAAGATTTCAAGATATCGATAGAATAGTCGGCAACTCAACTAAATGTTAAAGAATATTAAGCGATGGTCGGAACCAGAAAAAAAGTTATATTAAAACGCAATTGAAGAAATTGAAGAAATGAAGAAAACGGAAACTTTGTATGAGCAATACATGGCCCACTAACAAAAGCTGCCCACTGCACAAGCTGAAACACCTTTAGATTAGAACAAAGTTAACATGACGTTGCTCCCTTAAAAGTCGAATATTCGATACCCATTATCTTGAAAATTATTGTTGGACTCTTTGTCAAAATATAGGCCAGCCTGTAAGAGTCACTTCACGATCCTACCTAGTTTGCAACTAAAAGATAAATTGGCTCAGTTTTACTCATAGTTCCTATAGTGCATAGCGCCAAGCTTTTGATGTTCATATATAGGAAAAGATCCAACAGTAGGACAAATAATTACAATGCGCTTAGGTTAGAGTTTCTCTTTGATATTGAAATTACATTTTCACTATTTTGCACTGCTGTACTCATAAATGGAACGATAAAATTAATATACTATTATACCGTATTGTTGACGTGTGTACAAATTACAGATTTACCCAAACATTACTAATGATTTCATAAAATGATAGCCAATGAACTGAACACAGATTGAAAATAATTGAGAAAAGCTTGCTCTAAAACCAAATTATAAAATAAAATTTAAAGGAAGATTTTTTAAACTCTACACCCGTAATGATTGTTATTAAATAATTAAGCAAATAAATAATAAGGATAAAAAAAAAAAAAAAGAAACGAACAAATTCAATTAAAAATGACCATAAACATAAATAAAAGTTTTCTGCATTAATTAACTGTAAACTTAAAATTGAATAAAAACAAAAAGAAAACCAAAACAAAAATAAAAAAAAAAAATTAAAATAAAAATAAAAATAAATAAATAAATAAAATAATAAAAACAAATAGTTTAAAAATTATGCATTTGGTTGTGGCAATAATGAATTTCCTACAAATACCAAAAGCAACTGCTGTCATTTGGCTGGCTTTTAGTCTATTCGGTTTATTAATTAAGCTGCCAGGTAAGTTCAAGCTCCTTAGTGTATCTGTTATTCTTCTTTTTTTCTGATGATTACACCTCACTCTGCGCTAAGTGCTAAGCCTTTTACCGAGCAGCCAACCAACAGTCTGATAATTAAAATTTTCTTTCTCGGTCTTGTCAGAAAAGTGTTGGTTGACAATATGATTTCCATAGTGTTTTACACAGTTGTTTATTTTTTTTTTTCTCTTTCTCTTTTTCTTTGTCTTTGTCTTTGCCTTTTTCTTTTTCTTTTTTCATTTTTTTTTTTGCTTTTTTTTGTTTTTTTTGTTTTTTGTACTTTATGTCAACCACTAACAAATTGTCAAGTAATTTGTCATAATTACTTCAACGTTACAATTGCCCTGATGTCAAGGGTCTAACTTTTCATGAATCTCTCCTCAATGCAAAACAGATAGGTGCCCTAGATTTACCTGCAGACAGGTGGTTAAGGTAGTTTAAATATATATATATATATTTTTTTTTTTATTTATTTATTTATTTTTTTTTTTTGCACTTGTATTCATATTTTACGACTTTATAAGGTCCTTTCAAAACAGAAAACAAAAATAAGTTTTTAATCCGCTTAGGTCGAATATTTTTTTGCTTACCACCTGCGTTCTTTAATATATTTAAAAAAAAAAATAAATAAATAAAATAACAAAAAAAATGCTTATAGAGCCTTATATAAATATTTTACGTTTGTTGTGTGGGGGAAAACTTTATATATGTAAAGAAAATGTAAATTGTGTTATAAAAAGTCGAGCAAGTACTAATCTCCTTAGGGTGTGTTTTTGAAGATCCGAATTATTTGTCATCTGAACTCAGCTTTGTACATGCCTTTTAACCCACATAGTGATAAAACCGTATGACGTGCATGGTATGAAGTATGAACGCAATATGAGTAAAGCAAAAAAAAAAAAAAATAAATAAAAAAGCAAAGGTTATAAAGTTTACAGCCAACCTTTGACAGACGCCAGCTGATTGTAACCGCATCTTTGTATGCATTATGTGCATAATTTGAAGTTTTACCCAAGTAATAACTTTAGCGCTTATGTGTGTAGTTTTAGCTTTACATTTTAACAGAGTGCCGGTCATCGTTGAATCGTCACAACGTCAATGAATTTCCTCCAATAGTTAGCTTAAAGTCGCATAAAACATACTATAGCGCCTTTACAAGCGATAGTTAGTTGTTGTACTTGTTAACCAACCGCAAAGTAACTGAGCGAGTAAATGAGCTAAAATTCTGAAAAAATTCGCTTGATTTTACGAAATCTCTTCGACCAACACGGCAACACGCTTCGCCAGCCTGTGAGAGAGCAGTTTATGCAATTAATGGTAAAAATGATTTATCCAAATCAGCATCACGTATGTGGTTCGCTCGCTTTTGTTCTAAAAATTTCAATTTTAACGTAATATTGGCCGACGGGTCGTGAATAAAGTCTATGAAATTCTTCAAACAATCGAGGATGATCGACATATCTCATGTTATATGATATCGCGGCGGAAATGAACATTGACTAAAAACCAATTTTCAACAATCCGTGTATAAGTGGATAGGAAAAAAAGCTCGATACTTTGATGTCAATCTAAAATTTAAGAGACCAAATTTTCATTCGTGACTCGCTGCTGAAGCGAAACGCAATCGTACTTCGTGAGCGCAAGTTTTGATCGACTCGCCAAACCATTTATTTGAATTTTTGGTGTGCAGCCAGCTTCATAGTAGTTCCAATTTTTCCAGTCCTAGCAATAATAAAAATTGGCGCATCGATGACATAATGGTTTTAGCAGAAGAATGGCAAACGCTATCGGCCGCCAAGCCGGCACTTATTTTGCGTAATGAATTTCACTTTAAAGATAGCAAAAATGGATTTTTAAAAATGAGTTTTGATAAGAAGATTGTTAAGCGCTTGTATATATTATTTTCGTACTTACCTCAAACTTTAAGTAAGTAAACTGATATAAATTTAAAGTTACAATCTTTCATCTCACACTGATTTCCAAATTCTATTTGTGGCAATAAAATTAGCATTGTATGGGTGAAAATTGGCTTTACCAATTAAATCTGTGCGATCGTGAGTTCTGTCTGCGCGATAGACTGAACAAAAATATATATATATACATATATATATATATATTACATATATATTGTCTTTTGTTTGCAATGAATCTTTCTACAGTCATCATCGCGACTATTCGTTTACGAGCTATGTTGGCTTTTTTTATAAACGCGTATCAAAACTCCTCCCCGATTATATCGATAATTTACGAATTTTAAACGAGATTGTATGAAGAAAGGTGCCGGGAGCGGAAACCCAATAGAAATGATTATATAATAATCCTTTCCACTCGAACGGCGCCCGAGAGACGCCACTACTATTTTTGATAATATTGTGCACGCGTTGTACACTTTTTTACTTGGTGTAAGATGAGTCCGATGTATATCAGAAGGTGAACAGTTAAATCATTCAGTCTGAACACTATACCGTTTCGGGCGAAATCGTAGCAAAATTTTTGATGCTCTATTAAGTGAAAACACTGATAAGCAAAATCGAAACAAACGGTTTTTTTTAATATTCTGTTAAGCGAAAGCATTGGTAGTTAAAATTACTTCTTATGACTTGAGCTCATAAAAATGGAATCAATGGAAATGGAAATTTGCGACGATGAGTCTCAGATAGTTTTTCGATCGTTTGATAACATTCTTAATGAACATAAAGCAGATAGTGATCAAGACAATAGCAATGAAGAGCGTGATGAAGTTTTTGCTAAAGGAGAGAGTGCTTCCTCAAATATCGCACTAAGGAAAATTATAAAATTTAATATCAAAATATTATGTTTGTAGAATGTAAATGTGGTCGCAAGCCAGCAGTAGCTCGTTGACGTCGTTTAGAGTACGTTTTCAAGGAAACCTTCACTTCGTATTCGCTGAGTTAATTAAATATTCTGCAGACAGACAAACAGTTGAAATTGATCAAAACAATTTGTTTATTCGCGATAAGCGATAAGCATATAAATGTGTTTCCGAGCTACAAAGATTTGAAAAATTTTCAAAATATCGCACACCATCAACCTAACATCGGTAGCTATCGTCAGAGCTCGCCATTAAGAACGAAAGGCTTCGCGTGCTTTACAAATTTCTTTATTTTTACTTTCAGTCCAGGCGTGTATTACGCGTATGTTTTTGGTAAGGGTTTGCGTTTTTATGTAAGCATTTAATAAGAATTTTATTTCAAAATTTTTAAACAAATTTTTGATGGAATCTTTTTATTAAAAGACATTTTCGATTGTCAGTCTTAATCGTGACTCTTAAACCCAGCTAACTAAATAAATATGTTCTCTCGCAAAAGTCGAATCCAAAAATGTTTTATCTGTGTGTGTGTGTGTGTGTGTGTATTTTTAAATCGTAATCATATGTTTTTGTTGTGTTCAAATAAAATAAATATAAGGATAAAATTTAAAAGAATGCAGCAGCACGTTTGCTAAATGTAAAATACGACAATGAAAACTATAGTAAAAGTAATAAAATGACAACAACAAAAGCAACAAGACTAACAGAAGCAGCAATAGCAGCAGCAGCAGCAGCAGCAGCAGCAGCACCAGAGAAACAACAACAATGATAGAAGCAACAAAAAGGACAACGACAAATACAAATGGCAAGTGGTCAGAAGCAGATGTTGCCGAAAAACTGAAACGTGCTTCAAACTGCAATCATTTTATGCACCAAAGGAAACTCGTATGATATGACATAAAATACTTAACATGTATAACTTGTTTGTGCGTATGTGTGACTTCGCATAAATGCATACACACAAAATAAAGTGATTCGAGACTCCGGATTGGATGAGTGACTGTGCGTGTGCTTGTTTATATGCAGGCATACCGGTTCTATGAAACATGAATTCTCGCACAATAAACTAAAGTCGACCTTAAATTCTTCAATTCCTGATCACTTTTTGTCGTTGCAAGCAAACCATTGAAACATTTAAGCAATAAAAGTAGTAACAGTGGCACTAGCAAACGATTTCAAATTCATGCAAATTATTCATTTTTTTTTTTTTGTTTTTGTTTTTTTTTTTTTTTTTTTTTTATGTGATTGTCAACTGTTACGTATTTCCTGGGTTTCTATTAGTTCATGTAGTATGATAGATTTTTAAGCATCGGTCGAAGCATTTACCCATTTCCCATTATAAGCTCGGTCAGCAATATCCTGATCATGACAATTGATAGATAGTAGGTTGATTTGATTTATTAAATGTTGTGAAAATGTTCATTCAAAATTTTCGAAGGAAATTTACATATGTAAGTACGGCCTATATATATATATATAAATGAAGAAAGACGTCGAAGAAATGCTTTTCGCAGTGTCAAGGAATGATGGAGTTAAGCGAAGAGAATTGAAGAGTGCGCGCGTATATGTGGGTGTGTGCGTGTGCGAGAGAGAGAGAGAGAGAGAGAGAGAGAGAATGAGAGAAGGCAAGTGTGCATATGAATATTTTAAAAACTATATATATACTATATATATATATATATACATATATATATGTATATATAGTCTTGGAAAAGTTACAATTTCCGGGTAATATCGCTTAATGTGTCCTTAAGTTAGTTAGAAGCGCTTTACATGCTTTGTATTAAAAGTTTTGCTTGCATTAACCTACAACGTTACCAAAGAGCACTCTAACCACTTTACCTGTCTGCGGCTTAGCTTTTCATCTCTAGCATATCGCCACATATGTTGATAATATTTTCTAGTCACATACTTCATGTTCGTTGAACTTTTCAAGATTTCCGTCTATTTTGCTTTTTTGCTATTATTATTATTATTATTATTATTGTTATTATTATTATTTTTATATATTATTTTCATTTTTTCGTCTCATTTCCTATAATAACATAAAAATTCTGTTAAATGAATTCCGTCACATTCAATAACCAGTCGCCGGTTGCGCAGTGTTTGCTTTTTATGCACCTCACACGTTGTATGCTTTACTTTTTGATGCC